GGGGGGGGGGAGAGAGATTAGGGAGCACTGCAATCTCACCCATGCTCATATGATGGACTTCTTGTTTTACAACAACTAACCTGAAATAATCCGTGTCCCACGAGACCTTTATTGAAAAAGGTGGGTATCTGGGCCTCACAAGCATTCCATTTTGTGGACAGAAAAATCTTTGTGGTGGGAGGCATGGACTATAATGGTAGGATGCTAGGTTGAAGAATTGTGAGCTGATTATGTTCCGTTGGAAATTATAGTTGCAGAGCTCTCACAAGGGGCGAAAAAGGAAAGCAGAACATTCTACGAATTATTCTTTGAATTTCTCCAGGTTGCATCATGCCATTCTAGAGAACTATATTATAATAATCTTTTGAACAATCTCCTCGAGCACAGGGGCTATTGTCTAGTGTGTAGATAAAAAACTCGGACTCGTACCAATAGCAATAAGGTTGTGGGTTGCAATAAATGAAAGCGATCACTTTGTAAACCTGTTCCTCAGGGACCTCAGTTAATGGGGAGCAAAACATGTTATGGCCTTTTAGTTNACTCGTACCAATAGCAATAAGGTTGTGGGTTGCAATAAATGAAAGCGATCACTTTGTGTAAACCTGTTCCTCAGGGACCTCAGTTAATGGGGAGCAAAACATGTTATGGCCTTTTAGTCTCCATTAAGAGGTTGGACATCCCAAACTGCTACAACCCCCTAAATCGAAACTTTGAGACTAAAGCTTACTGAAAATTTAACAAAACAGTTTGATCAATTAGGTGATCATGTCCTACCAATGCGCCTCATGTCGACAAAAATTTGGAACAAATGTTTGTGGACTTATAATACTGAATGAATCATAAATTATGCAAACAAGCAGTATATAATTCAGTTTATAAGAACATTAAGTAGAACTATACTCAACCTAAGTTTGATTTGCAAGGCTATAGTTCAACAGTGTGATTGAGCCAAGCTCAGGGCTCAAAGTTCAAACTGAAAATATGAAATTTTCAATGAGTTGTGCCATTTGATGAGGTTTATTAAATGGGATGGGCATGAGAGAAGCAGACAAACTGAAGAAATACAGAACTTGCCATAAGTATGGCTATTTGATTGACAAAGGATTCAAGAAGGCTCTATTAGATGGATGGGAATGAGACAAGGAGATGAATCTTTATATTTGTACATAGAGTAATACACCCAGATATATAGGATTAAAAGCAGCGCAGGGTGTGTACTAGGAATAGAGGGAGGACATATTTTAGCTATTCATGCATGCTGCTGAGTTTCTAGTACTGTGGCAAGGGAGGAGAAACAAAAAACCTTTTTTGTCTGTAACATTTATTTCGAGTGGATATCCTTTCATTGGTTTTGAAGATTTGAAAGCGTACTTTTATTTCTTAATCATCTAAAATTTTGCAACTTAATGATCATTTATAATTGAAACAATAGCTAGTGACCAAGTAACACACATGGTTCTGATCATGTTTGTCTCTAAATAGTTGAATTCGTCATTTAAACTTCTTTCGCTAATCTGCCTGAATTCGTTGAGCTGTGACTGCTTGATTGTGTTATCCTATCTACTCCACATCTCATGTCCTGCTATTGTCAGTTTATTTAACTTTTCTGCTACATAACTATATAGGAACCTGAAGAATTGTTTGAAACCATCTCTCAAGCGCTGTTGTCATCAGTAGATCGTGACTGTTTGAGTGGTTGGGGAGGACACGTCTATGTTGTGTAAGCCTTTCTGTGCTCCTTTTTTTTTACATTATAATTCATTATGTGGACAAATCTATTTCTTTATAACTCGTATTGTCAAGTGTGGAGATTTGTCCTACCGATATAACTCCGGTGGAATATTGATGAGATTGTTGGTGGGCTCAATTCTCCATTTCTTTGTGCGAATATACTAGTGATGCTTGTAAGGACATGTTATATAATTTGCTGCAGTACACCAACGGAAGTTACAGAAAGGATGTTGAAGGGAAGGATGGACTGACACTTTTCAAGGGTTAAAGACCATCTTTCTGCATTCCTGTTTTGGATACTTGGTTTTCTTCAGTGACTACTCTAGACTGCGGATAATGTAGGGTACTTCTTGTGTTCAGTGACCAAAGCCCATGATTCTGTAGTGCTTGAAATTTCTGTCTACGATAAGATTTATCCAAAAACCAAATGTATTTTTTTAATTTTCATATTTATTTGCTGTNATTTGTCCTACCGATATAACTCCGGTGGAATATTGATGAGATTGTTGGTGGGCTCAATTCTCCATTTCTTTGTGCGAATATACTAGTGATGCTTGTAAGGACATGTTATATAATTTGCTGCAGTACACCAACGGAAGTTACAGAAAGGATGTTGAAGGGAAGGATGGACTGACACTTTTCAAGGGTTAAAGACCATCTTTCTGCATTCCTGTTTTGGATACTTGGTTTTCTTCAGTGACTACTCTAGACTGCGGATAATGTAGGGTACTTCTTGTGTTCAGTGACCAAAGCCCGTGATTCTGTAGTGCTTGAAATTTCTGTCTACGATAAGATTTATCCAAATACCAAATGTATTTTTTCAATTTTCATATTTATATGCTGTTCTGATGNGTAGTGCTTGAAATTTCTGTCTACGATAAGATTTATCCAAAAACCAAATGTATTTTTTTAATTTTCATATTTATTTGCTGTTCTGATGTCTGATGTCTCTCCGGGAAGAGGGACATTCAAATGATTGGATTGGCCAGATGCTTATTTGTTGATGCTGTGTTCAATCTTTATAATTGGACAAATTGGGCTGGTTGCTTGTTTAACAACTGCTCGAGTATAAACACTGCAAGGTATGACCAAAAAGGCAAACAGCCGAGGCATTTACCAAACATGGAAATCTTTTAAAAGGAGGAATGAAAGAAAAGCATCTAAGTCAATACATCGACAACAATGGTCTGCTATCAATACCTAGTTATCTTACTCGATATAAAAGCAGATTCAGAATGGCTTCAATCTAATACGTTTGAACTGGAATGTATTACAAAATATGGTGCAGGAAGGATAGCTACCATACATCGGTGTTGATTTGAGATGATCTAAGCATACTAGTGGGGAGACGCCTGCCACTTGAAAAAGGGAAAGATAATCTTTACCCCTTATAATATATTATATAAAGCTTCAAAAAATTTTACATTCCCAACTTTTCATGACCACAAGAGTCTAGAGACATTTCATATAGTTTCGGGGGTAATTGGAACGATAACATCTCAAAACTATTCACTTCAAAGACACCGGTAATATAAGAAAAGCATATGCAAAGAAAGTAAACAAGCCAAGAAATTGCAACCGTCCAGTTCATTACTTTGCAGCGGCAACCATTGCAGATCGAACACGTGTGAAAGAAGCAATGAGCGATCCAAGCTGCAACTTATCATTGCACCCAAAACTCAATCTGTACCTGCAAACAAGAAATTGCTCCCACAGTTAAATTCAACCAACATACCAGTGACACTTGAATCCATCTTGATCCCACAACAAAATCCCAAAGCCTTTTTTTTTAAGTTTAAAATGAGGAAAAGAGAGGGGAGGGGGAAGGGGTAGTCACATCTTAAATTAGAATAGCTACTAAGGTCTGAAGAGTAATAATAGGCATTAAAGCAAAGGGGTTGGAATAAAGAAATTTTAAAAAGATGGGACAGGACTACGTACTCAATATCAGCCAAATCATTAATCAGCTGGATTCGAACATCTGATGGCATCTTGATCTTAAATACAAACCTGCTAGGACAATGCTAAAAAGATGAGCTCAAGCCTAAAATGTTAAGTAAAAACTAAAAAACCAGAAATATAAGCACTTACATGGTTACTTCTCTTATAATATCCACCAATGCCAATCCTTTCCTTGTCTTGATTTCAAAAATTTCTATAGATAGTTAAGTATCAACAAAACATTAGACTAAAACACCAAAAACTCTTAAACAGTAGCCTACAGTTAAGAAATTGTTGCATACGTCTAAAACTAGCTGCAAAAGGCTCATTCAGAAGCCAGTGAGATATTCGCTCAATATCTTTAGGCAAAGGATTTCCAGTGCATAGGTACACAGCTTCTTCTGTTATCTGCTGATAAGCCATGTGTGTTGACTGCAGATATCAAGAAAAGTAATCAATTGTGTAATCTTGAACCACCATATAGACGATATGGAGACATCAATACACAAGGAGGTCAAGTGAACCCTACAATCTGTAGCCTGAATCATCTTACATATCATTAGGGAGCTGTAGTTCAGCACAATAATTGAAGTTAATAGAATGAGGATTACCAACGAAAAATATTTAGGGGTAACTCCAATACTAAATCAAATGTTTGAATAATGCGTAAATTCATTTCTTGGAGTGGGTTGAGAGTTGGGACTATGGTTAGATGACAGTTTTAACATTTGAAGATGGTGTCAAACTCATTTGGTGAATTGAACCCAATTGCAAGGCATGCCATTTCAGATAATACCAAATAAGCAAAGGTAGCCATTGCAAATATTTTGATCTCGAACAAGAGAATTAACAAAAAATTGAATTGCATGAAATTTCTGAGGTAAATGGTGATTCATGCATAAGGACTTAGTTTAACTTACAGCTATAAATTTCCACCAAATGACACTAGTGTACAAGCAAAAGCATTAAGCCCCAAAAATCTAATCTGCGCTTGTATTGCAACTAAGCTACATCAACTACAAGAGGGGCCCAACATTTAAAGTCCAGATATCCCTCCACCGACTACCCTTTTGTTCATGTTGCAAAGAATCTGATGCAAACAATAATGGCTACATATCTTCAAACACAAGAAACTAAAGGTCCTGTTACACGGAATCTTTGCCACATCATAACACACCACAAAAAGAAGACAAGCTGTGCAAACATTGAGCACCCATTCTCTACGTTTATATTATGAATAGGCCAATAGGCACAGTACAATATAGCATAATGAAAATAATTATAATGAGGATAGATACATTTGCCTGAGAAGATACAGAGTAAGAAATTCGAAAACCTGCAAAATGTTCAAAGCCTTCCTCATATCACCATTGCTAAGCCGTACAAGTGCCTTTAAGCCACTCTCAGGTACATCAAGCCTAGATCATTAAAATGGTGTCAAGAGAATATAGCTATAAATCCATAGGCCTAGTCACCGAAGCTACAATCACATAGCAATATTTACAGCCTTGAGTCTCCTATTCTTCTTACAATACTGAAGCAACCAACTAAAACCTGACTGGCATTGCTCATATACATGTAGTCAAATTTTCTTTCAGAACTGAAGCAAAAGAATGCCAGAGGGGGCACAATCCCATGTAGATGCAAAGTACAAAATCTGAAATAAAATCAAAATCCTACAAAATCCTTATCTCTCACAAAGTCTAAGAATGCATATCTATGTGGCCCATGTATCATCATTCCAATTTATGCACAAACAATACAAGCAAATCCACTATAAACCTATTCAAGGACTTGGTCACATCAATGCGTACCCCAGGCATTTTGCAACTATGTAAACCAGATTTTAATCTTTATACAAGAAAGGCAATGCCATTTGTATCCGATGCACCACCATGCACGTATTCTGAATGATCAACAACAAAACAGGAACTACTGTTACTGTATGGCCTAATACAGTAGACTTTTGTTTTCTTTATTTGGTAGTTGGTAGATGCCACATAACTTACTCAATGCTTTGTCGTGATATGGCATTGTTTTTCATACATCACAATCCTTTGATCTGTCAAGAACTAGTATTAAAGCTTTGCCATGCTATAGGAGTGTGTCAGAAATCAGAACCCACTTAATGCAAATCTCCCTAAAATAAAACATACAAGTAAAAGAAGCATATGATATCCAACTAACATGATAACGATCTTATCTATGCAACCCCAAACTTGTGACTCATATGCAGTAATAATAAAGATTTCCAAGAGTTGGACATATACAGATCAGTAATTTTCGGGACTGAATTACTACTAACTATCCCTATGAAACTGATAATCTAAGATAATGCGTAGACATATATCATACTAACACGTCAACCAAAAATCATATATACATGTAAGTTGTAACCAGGATTCAAAATAAAGACACCAGATTTTTTTTTTCCTCCCTTTTCTGTTAGGATATACTAACAAAAAGAGAGTACAGACAGAAAGAACAGCACATAAAAGTTGGCCACAAACAAAAGTAGGGAACTTACCTTTCAGCCTCAATGACGTGTTTAAGTCTCTCTCTGACATGAATATCCTCAAGAGGAGCAAAGCGAAATCGGGTACACCTTGACTGCAGTGCTGGAATAATCTTGTTGACGTGATTACAGATAAGAGCAAACCTAGTGTTCTTTGTGTATTTCTCAATAACTGCATTATAACAAACATGAGACAATTGGTTCTGAAAAAGTAAAATTGTGTTTGGAAGAAAATATCAAGACAAATTTGTACCTCTACGCAGAGCAAATTGAGCATCCTTTGTCATGGCATCTGCTTCATCCAATAGGACCAACTTCACAGAGGCCTTTGCACTGGGGCAAAACAAAGAAACACAGAAAAAAGAATGAAACACACTAGTCCAGTGACTTGTTAAGCCAAAAGCAAAAATATTAACTAAGTTTTAAGTAGCAAACAAAAATAATGCAATGTAAAATCAAAATGAGAGCATGGAAGCATGACACCTGATCATTATGACAACCTTCTAAACTTTTTTATGACAGTTGCAAAAGTTTTGCCTAACACAACTTTGTTGTTGCCACACAGCATCAGAACCTATGTTGCTCATCAAATTTTTCTTAGATGTAGCCCCTAAGAGTAAACCACAGAAATCACTTGTCATGTCTAACAAATGAGCTTATCTATATTCTCCACCTTTTCTTCGTTTTCTAACATAAGATCATTGGTCTTATGAAATTATCAGAAACAACGAAGTAGTTGCCTCAGATATTTCTCTCAAGACACCAAACACAGGCATACATCCATCATAGACACATACAATTTATTCACTAATATTTATATTATACCTGTGAAGTCATTTGGCTGCAAATGATCAAAGTATAATGGCAAAAGTAATGCAAGGACATGGACATCCAAGCTTGCAAGGAAGAGCTTTGAAAATACCAATTTGAAACAACTCCTTGTAGTGTATAGACTTTTAGATTGAAAAACATGCACATGCATTTAGAGGTTGCAAATATTTCCAACCCTTCAAGTATTCTATTTGAAAACTTACTATCTGAAAAACTAAAAAATTCTTTGAACAATCAAACAATAAAACCATGGCATTTTCATTTAAAAAGGGATGCCATTTTATATGTGCAAACATTAGTGGTTGGTGATCACTTTTCTACGCAATAAAATGTTCAAATGATAGGCATGCGACCTTATATAGAGCTCACATAGAGCGTGAACATTTGTGTAGCATAAACATACCCCACCATTTAAGAGACACCCACCACGTGCACCACTGGTAGCAAATATTCAGAAATGGTGCAAAGTTAATGGCTTATCAAAAAATATTGAAATAAATACTATTCCTTTGAGTGTAGGTTGTGAAATAAGCATTGCACCTAACGGGAAAGGGGAAGTTACTTCCAATAAACAATTGATAATCTACAAAACTGAAATATAGACACCTGTGCATGCAGTTTGTAAGACAATGTTCATTTATCAAGATGAAGGAAATGATAGACTAAGCAGACGCCAAAACAGTGAGTAGCTTCATAAATAGTATAGTGACACAGATTGATTAAACTTAAAACTTACCCCTTAATAGAAATACCTTTCACTCTCATTTTATTCTTATTACAAGTCAAACTACCCAAATTCAACCAACACCAAACAATATAAATTAGCCATAGCACTAGCACAAATCAAATATATGCGCAAAAGCACTTACATGAGCAGTGCACATCCACACATCATCTTCCAATAGCACCAATACAAAATGGGACAAATGACCAATATAGAACAATGATTTACCCAAATGAAAAGCTCTGAGTGCTAGCAAAATCTTGAATCTGCTGTCTTACGACATCAATTCCACGAGCATCCGATGCATTTAGCTCCAAAACCATATTACGCATCTGTGACCCATATAGCTTTCTTGCAACAGCAAGAATTGTCGACGTCTTCCCTGTACCAGGCGGCCCATATAATAGCAAATGTGGTAATCTGTTTTCGCTCGTAAGCCTGTCAACTGCCCCCAAAAAAAAGTCACAACAAATATATACAAAAGCAATAAGTGCATACGCACAAACATGCATACATGCNACCAGGCGGCCCATATAATAGCAAATGTGGTAATCTGTTTTCGCTCGTAAGCCTGTCGACTGCCCCCAAAAAAAAGTCACAACAAATATATACAAAAGCAATAAGTGCATACGCACAAACATGCATACATGTATATGAAACATGATGCATTGAATTCCTAGAAATTGCATAGGTGAGAAAGAGAGAGAGAGCATACAGTAGCAAATGAGACAATCTGTTCAATCGTTATGAGATGAAATTTCACACATAAGTGTGTAGACATATTGTCAAGTATATATGCGCACGGAAACACAGACATATATGCACGTGTTTTGGTGTTCCTCAACCCCAAGTAATTCCCCAACCTTCATTAACTTTTTGGCATCTCGTGTTCAACCATATCGAGTACTACCCCACATTTTCCTTTTCTTTCACTAGAGTTAGTTCCATTACTCGAATTCTAACCCTCTTAATCTCAGAGGAAATAAATTCCTAACAACTCAAATGTTATCCTAACTAATCCCTCTGTAATTACATATTTGAAACCATATCACAAGTTGAGAAACAAGAAAAATGGCAACTAAGGGACCTAGTTCTGTATGAATCAACCAAAACTAAGATAAAAATAAAAGGGCTTCCTGATATATACTACAGCAAGCAAGCCTATAAAATCCACAAGTCAATACTCCAGTTATCCTTAAAGTAGTCTTAGCTGTACTGTGAATATTCCCTGCAAGAAAACAACTTAATAAATCTATTTTACACCCTTGATTTCAAGTAAACTGTAAAATATTCTGTAGAGGCTTGTTCTCTTCCCCCTACAACTTCCATTTCATACTTGTTTCTCCCTATCATTGATCCTAATACTTCGCCAAGCTATAAAGCCATTTATTGTTTGATGAAAATACGTCAATATTTACATGAAGATATGTAGACATGGAAATGTAAATCACACACTAGTGCATGTAAAATATGGTTCACCCATTAATGGGACCCTAGAAATCGAGAGAGAGAGAGAAGGACAGAGCATGTGTCTGTAGAGAATCAAATGTGAAAATCTGCTGTCACACAAAACCCATCAACTGTTTGACAAAAATCCTCGAAGAATAGAACTATTAGAGAAAATCTGTGTATGTTTGTGAGCAAAATGTAGTTTTGGTAAAACCTCAGTAGAAATCGAGAGAGGGGGGAAGAAGGGATTTACTGGTGTCGACGATGTCTCTGTGAGCGGCGACGTCGGCGAGCGACTGAGGGCGGAATTTTTCGACCCAAGGTGTGGCTATGGAGTCAGGTGAAGCGGAAACGACGACGCTTTTGCCCTTGTAGTTGTTCGATTTAAGGGAATGGCTGTTGTCGTCTTCGTTGTCGTCGATGTCCATGAGAGAGATTAACTCAGCCATTTTTGCGCTCCGCTTACTTTGGTCTCTCTCTCTCTCTCCAGTGATTGCGCCTCTGCGTTGAGAGGTGTGAAAGCGCGGCCGCGGACGATGGTATGTGATGGCGCCAAAAACCGTGCACATAATTTTTCTTTTTCATTTTTGCCATAGAAATAATAAAATAGGTAAATTACTAAATTATATACAATTAAAAAGAAAGTTGAATAATTATTTGTGATAAACTGAAAAATAATATCGATATCTTATGAGCAGATAATAGAGTGAAAAAGAGAGTTATAAGTAATATTTTAGAAAATCAAAAATCAAAAATAAAAGGTGTCATAAATATTTTAAGGGTAAACTTCAAATCTACTTTTCTATTTTTACGACTAAGCATAAATCCCTATTTTGATTTTATTATTTATTTTATNTTAGAAAATCAAAAATCAAAAATAAAAGGTGTCATAAATATTTTAAGGGTAAACTTCAAATCTACTTTTCTATTTTTACGACTAAGCATAAATCCCTATTTTGATTTTATTATTTATTTTATCATTGTTTATAAATACACACAATTTCAAACCGATAGATTTCGATACTATTTTTTTCCATTGAAAGAACGTCTAACTTTTTTTTTNTTTCTAGTGTATATTCTCTTGTTGATATTCATGCAATTTTATTATTGTTTGATTAGCTGTATTGTATTTGATGAATGTGCGACAATGGAAGTTATGCACCTACATTTTATATTTTGCAATTGGTGTAAACTCTTCCCTCATGTTTTTAAATCATATTTTATTATTTCTATTTTCATAAGTATGGTTTAAATTTATACTTTTTGTAAGGGGTAGAAATCGCTACGGATCTCATCCCTCCACTTGAAGGATTTCGGCTTGACCTGAGTTAACCCACGCGGGCGACCCCCCAATAGCCTTTACCCCTCAGTGCCCGCAGGAGCTTCGTCCCACATCGACTGAGAGTCGTCTCCCCCCCCCTCGCATATAAGTCCTTGCACTCAAAGGAGGAGGTACTCACTAGCGACCTGATCAGGTGCCTAGTGGGTACCTCCTCCTTTGAGTGCAAGGACTTATATGCGAAGGGGGGAGACGACTCTCAGTCGATGTGGGACGAAGCTCCTGCGGGCACTGAGGGGTAAAAGCTACTGGGGGGTCANATCATTGTTTATAAATACACACAATTTCAAACCGATAGATTTCGATACTATTTTTTTTCATTGAAAGAACGTCTAACTTTTTTATTTTAACACAAGTATGATTTTAAATCCACATTTATCGATATAAAATTTTATATTGAGTGTATGCTAAACATGTTGCTATATTAAAAAGTATAAATTTAAACCATACTTATGAAAATAGAAATAATAAAATATGATTTAAAAACATGATGGAAGAGTTTACACCAATTGCAAAATATAAAATGTAGGTGCATAACTTCCATTTNCCGCGTGGGTTAACCCAGGTCAAGCCGAAATCCTTCAAGTGGAGGGATGAGATCCGTAGCGATTTCTACCCCTTACAAAAAGTATAAATTTAAACCATACTTATGAAAATAGAAATAATAAAATATGATTTAAAAACATGAGGGAAGAGTTTACACCAATTGCAAAATATAAAATGTAGGTGCATAACTTCCATTGTCGCACATTCATCAAATACAATACAGCTAATCAAACAATAATAAAATTGCATGAATATCAACAAGAGAATATACACTAGAAATATGTGATAATATAATCTATTATTTTTTACAGAGTACATAATCTGGGGCGGATTTACAGTGAGGGTATTTGAAATTTGATAATATTGCCCCCCCCCCCACTGAAAATATTTTAAAAGGCTTAAGGGAAGTTTTTGAAATTTTGATAAAACCTAATGTTCTTTTATACAACGTAGAGTTAGGTTTAAAAAAAAAAGGTCCTTACGTTTCTTTTTAGTCTTTCGTTCGTATGTTTCTTCTTTAGCATTGATCATCCCATCAATAATAAAGCCATGAGAGGTAACTCATATTGCGTGTAACTTGATTCAATACGATACGCAGGTAACCTGACTTAGTTTAAAAAAAAAGTCTGTCTAGATTCAGCCATTTGACATAGTAGTAGTCTCAAGGCAAAGAATTCAAACCCTTGAAGCTATTCTTCCCTCCAAATGTTTTGTTTTTCTAATCGTTGTCAATTGGTTTTGTTCGATGATCAAGTTGGGGTGCTAAATTTATTTTTCATAGATATTTTGTTTTTCAAGCCTCTTTATTATAAGAATTCCAATTAGGGACATTTTGGTCATTTTAGTAGTTCACTCACGGACTCACATTAATAAGTGGGCACAAATTATAAAATGTGTGAGGACTAGAGTATGAACCCCATAAGTTTGATTTGTTATGTTATTGGCAAATTCCTGGTTTTGCAGATAGCCAACCAAGGCATCAACGCGACAAATACTAACAATCATCGTATTGTAGATAGTGGAACACCATAATTATTATTACGTGAAGTATGAAATTTCGTACAAAAATCAGTTGTCACCCAAGCGAATGCAACATCCACCACTTAAGAATTTGGTGATGATTAGGACTAATCTAACCAACAACATGAAGCCACAACTAGCGGTACACTCTTGTGAAGCTCAAGTTGGACTTACAAACTCCCTCTTGAACTTATCGAGTGTATAGCAAGTCTGTGTGGCATACAAGAGTAATCCTAGAATACTAAGTGGACTGATGTATACTTAAAGAAAGAGAAATGGCCATGAGATTGTCTGTAAACATGGAAGCCAAAGCTTATTTGGATGGATGGGTATTTTGGTCAATTGACCTCCACCATCTCTTCTAAATCTTCGAGTGTTGAGACTTGCTGTAAACATGCTTGAGACTTGCTGGTAACTCTTCCGAATAATGTCTTTGTCACAATACAACCTAGAGTTAAAGCATAAGTTATGAAATGGTCAATATTTAGTTCTTTGATACAGAGACGGTAATTTTGGAGATTTTATATCAGACTTTTGTTGACATAACTAAAATTTGATAGCACTGCTATGGAAATTAAAGAAAAGGGCCCCATAACTTCTCAAACTTTATAGGATTCATATGATTTAGTGACAAATGTCAAAAAGTAAGAGAATTTAGTCGGGAGCGGAGAGCTAATTGAGTTTAATGAGTATCACCCTAAACTAGCCCCGAAATCCATGGCCAAAAGAGTCAATAGAGCATTAATGACAATCCTCTTTTGTGTCCCTTTTTTTAATTTAATTTGATTTCATCGCTTCTTCTACTTCTTGTTTTTTTTTTTTTTGTAAAATTTAGAGGTGTTCAAATTTTTGATTACTCGCAAATTTCGACCCTATCCTACCCTACCTGACTCTATTAATCGACTATTTGAAAAAATCGAGTAGGCCAACAAAATTTTTTTTGGTATTCCACAAAATAACGGGTATGAATGCGGAATACTTACAAAATTTATGTATTCCTACCCTACCCTACCCGCATATATATATATATATATATATATATGTGTGTGTGTGTGTGTGTTAAATTTTTAACATTTTAACATTGTTAATGTGTCTAAAAATCACAACCCAGAAACACTATTAATGTGTTAAATTGTTAACATTTTAACATTATTGTGTTGATTAATTGGTGGAGGTTACTTAACTGATTTATTAAAATAATTCAAAAATTAATAATTAAAAAATATTGTGTTCACCCGACTTCTTATNTATATATATATATATATATATTGATGTTTTATTGATGTTTATAGATTTCTTATATATGATGTACTGATGTTTATGACTTTCTTATATATAATGTATTGATGTTTATGACTTTCTTGTTGTGTTTTATTGTAATAGTTTATGTATTATCTAATTTATTGTATTTTTTTTAGTGTTATTGGTTTATTATGTTAGTTAATTGGTGCAGATTATTTAATTAAATTGTTAAAATTATCCAAAAATTAATCACTAAAAAAATGTGATTACCGATTTCTTACTTGACTTCCTATCCGATTGTTTTAGATAGAATTCGGGTAGGAATAGTACATTTGATCGGGTAGAGTAGGTCAAAAAAAAATTTCTTCCGTAAAATATCAGGTAAGAAGATAAAATATTATAATTACTACTCGTAACGTAGGGTGAACACCCCTAATGAAATGTTGAAAAATCATATGAATCACACATCCAATGAAAAAAAAATATTGTAATCGATTTTATATACAGTGGACNCACACATCCAATGAAAAAAAAATATTGTAATCGGTTTTATATACAGTGGATAGGTTTATTAAAGACCTAATAGGCTACATAGCGATCCAACACTATCTAAATTGTTTGGTGGTATATTTTATGTTTATATTGTTAATTCTTCACCACATAAAAATGGTTGAATTACATGTATATTGATGGGGTATTAAACGTGGGAGAGAAGAATGAGATATGTATGAAAAAGGTTTCGTTTGAGTTAGTAGGCTTGTTGCGATTAAGATAAGATTCTTGATGAACATGAGATGTTTTACACAGTGAAATTATAGTGGTTCACCAACTCGGGAGCCCAGCTAATTCACTCTTCAATGGAGTTTATTGCTCCTTGGATCTATATTAACAGCTTACAAAACATACAAAGTGTTTTTGATACAACGAAGGTCACTTGTCTTGCATTGAAGGCATTTTATAGTATTTATAGCTTAATTCCTGTCTCTATAGAGTCTCCGGTGAGATCTTAGCAGGATCTCCCTTAATCTTGGGAGAGAATCTTAGTTAGTTAAGAGATTGGTGCCGTGATTGTAGCTTTATATTGCTTCGGGGTTGCTTTCAGTTATCTAGTTGTCTCCCTGGCAGTTCCTTATTTGTTTCATTTGAGAAGGACTTGAGGTCGGGGCCACTGAGCTCTGGGCATCCTATCCGACTTCCTTATCTGAACTCACCTCTCGAGCTCATACTTAGGAAAAATTCTTCTCAGGTATAATCAATTGCCCCCCAACCCTTGGTCCAAGTGGACTTGAATATGGGCTAAACTAAGGTTGGACTGAGATAGATTTCCCCATGGTGACCTCGATATGCACGTGTGACAAGTTTTTTACGGTTATGAGTAATCATAT